GGGTCCACCATACCATTTCGCAACAAACACCAGGGGGCACATACGTGGGGGGCACGCGGGCATGCGTGGGAGGAGGGCAGACAAGCGCCCCCACCCCCTCTTGCTTTTGGCACACGATGGCAAAAAGTTAGCCATCACTGACCAATATTATCCATTGTATTACTGGAGTAGAAACAATGGAAACACAGCTGTATGTGCTCCATGGGACCATCTACTTTCACTATTCTGCCACTCAAAGTATTTACCTATTATGGGAACATATGGAAGGCAAATAGAGTAGAATGCTTGCAGGAACTAAATTTGCAGCATTTTGTCATTTGAGACATTACTCTATCCAGGCAAAGGTAGGGTAGCCAAAGCAGCTTATTGGGGAAAGAGTTGAGCATAAGTGAAAACAAAGCAGGGACATGTTCAAAAGACAAATAGGCTTGGTCCAAGTGGATCAGATCAGGCACATGGGTCAGAAATGTCACATCGCCGGTATAAAGGGAAAGGGATCAACTCTTTCATAGGGTATTACAGAAACTGAAATCTCAGTACAGTTATGATCAATTTTCTTCCCTGGAGCCAGGAAACCAGTTTCTTAGAACAATTATCTCAGATGCCTGCAATATTTCCTCACCAACTGGATTTTAGTTCAACTTTGTCTAGTGCTCTTGAACACAGACCATCGTAAACCTGGATTCAGAAATTGTGCCTGAATATCGTGTCAGTAAGTATTAAAACTCTAAAATATTTTTTAAAAGCATCTTTACCTTATGTTCCTCCTCATGTGAGAAGGTTTCTGAGCCCTCTTCTTTTTGGTGTCCTCAGAGGCCAGGCTCTGGTGCTGATTCTGCAACAGTTTCTCTGCCTGTTCACTCTGAGATGAGGTAGTTGAAGTAGAGTGCTGCCATTCTCCATCTTCCCCATGTTGAACAAGATCACTTTCAAAAGGTGCTTCACGGGATTGATCTGTAAAGACAATGTTAGAGTAAGTTGTGAGTAATTTCCTTTCTTTTCACATTTGTAACAAACATGGATCTTACTGAAAGAACAAATGAGTTCTCAATCATTTGACCATGTACTTCGCGTTTACTTCCACCTATTGGAAATGCTGATGAAACAAAACGCTCCAAATTCTTTTGTGAACCTCTCATATACAACCACAAAAGTTCTGATATCATGTCAAACCACAGCTGGTCCTTGACACAATAAATATTATGTAACTCCCGCAGCAAATAATTTCAGTGTTGGTCAAGTATTGCTTAGTGAACAAACTGTAACAGAGCAGATTCTTACAGGAAAAGACAGGAAATGCCCGTTTGAACAAAGTATCTTGGATAGTTAATGTAGCAAAAAGGCTATTTTTTAAATACATAATCAAATAGCAGCTTTTGGAAAATGTTTCAGTGAAACTCCATGAAACATAAACAACATGGATGGAATGCTACTGCTTCGGTGTTGTGGCAGCTCAACTTTCCTTCTTCTCTGTTTTTCCAACTATTTATGACTAGTTTAGTATGAGTGCATGGAAGATACCCATGTTCCACAAACATTGTTTGAAAGACCATGTGTTAGTATAAATCCAGATGTGTGTAGAAGACCAAGTTTATCTATATTTGTCAAAAGTCACTGTGTACCAAAACTCTCTTTTAAAAACAGTGTTACTTCACACTGCTTTTTCAGAGAACTCTCTCTGTTCTGGCAAAGCCCTTTAAAAGAAATGAATTGAAAGCAAATAGCTGCTATTTTACATTCCCCTAAGTAAGAAGTATATCTGAACCAAAACTGACCCTCCTGGTTTTTTTTCCTGGAAGCACAAGTCAGGTCACATTGTGAACTTGATACATTTTCTAAGACAGGGACTTTAAGGATTCACGTGGAGTGAAAATGTCAAAACAAATGAGCTCATGCTCATTTAACTAGGGAACTCCTAGTACTGACAACAGGTTTTGGTTTCCTTGAATTTTCTCACAGTTGTTTATATCAAGTAGCATTGTTCCAACATATCATATCAACCAAGGTTTCATCATACGATATGCAGCATTTTTACCCCACTGGCTTTTCTGCTTCATTCACAATTATGTAACTGGATCAAAAGAGTGCTAAAATAGGGCAATAGGAAGTGGTAATAGCAGTCCATGTGATTTCATTCTGCAGGCTGAGTCATCATACCAATGATTTCCCCAGAATTAAAAACAAAGGCATAATTCATGCAGAATTCAAAAGGCTGAAAAATCAAGCATTAGTGAGAGGAGAGAGAGAAAGTCATAATTCACAGACATTTGCTAAAACCTTTGTGCTGCTTATACGCATATTTTCCACAAAATTAAATAAAAACATTGATTTAGCAGAATATTAGATTGGGCATCTCCAGTATAGCCTTGCCCTTCAACTATATGAGATGATGATATAGCAAATATTTTCTGTGTTCCCAGCTTATTAGATTGTTGTTGTTGTTGTTTGGTTAATCTTTGGTGAGATTCACAGCCTTTGGGGCTGGTTGGTAGCTCAACAGGTCGAGTCCTAACCAAGGACCTAGGAACTAACTGTTAAGGTAACGTCGGAGGATATAAGCTGTTCCAAGTAGGGTGGTTTTTTGTAGAATCAGAAGGTTCAAATCTGATAAATTTTATAAATATTATAAAAATAGATATTATTATTATTAGTGCAACAACAGAATTGTATCACAGCGGCCAGTTGTTTCGCTGGATTTGGCACTGATTACTAGTCAGACCCCATGCAAGGGCCTAG